AGGGGTCGTTTGGTGTGAAGTAGTGGTGGCAAATGGGTGAGTTGGGTCAAATTTGGGTGGTTGAAAATGGGTAATAATTCAACCCGCCCATATTTGATATGGGTAAAATTGGATTGCGTAACAAATGAGTTGGGTAAAATACAAGTTTACTCATATTTACCCATATTATCATGAATATATAGTACTCTACTTAAGAATTCAACATGGAGAAATATTTTTTCTAGATGAGAAGTGTTGAAAATACTTTATTTAGTTTTATTGTATCATGAAAGTAAAAAAATCCTATAACTTTTCAATATAAAATAAATTTATATAACAAGGGGAAATATTTTAAATTTCAAAGTAAATGAATATTTGCATTTTAGGTCTAAAACATGTTTATTGCACTCTAAGCAATATCAATATCAATACTAATACATGATTGCTTATTTTACACTATTATTTGTTATCCAATATAAAATTAAACAAATAAAAAATATAATTATAATTAACAAAAGAATATACATTTAAAATATATATTTTTTGGAGGGCTAAAGGCTTCACCTTTTCAATTATAGAGAAGAATAATTAATTTTATAGAAGAACGTAAAAAAGGAAGAGAAGTTACAATATTTTTAGTGATGTCATAAATTTTAAGTGAATAGAAGTTGGAAGCTTTAACTCATTTGGCTATTCCATATTTTATCCGTAATTTACCCATATTTTTATGGGTTGAGTATGGGTATCAACCCATATTTTACCAATATAAAAAATCACTCACCCAACCCATTAAAATATGGTCGGGTTACCAAAATATGGGCTCGTTTTGCCAGCACCAGTGTGAAGGATAACACCAAGTAATCTTGAGACTAATTATAATGCCATTTAATTTGTTATTTTGTTGGCAAGTTCGGGATAACTTATTTCGGGATTAATAATTAATACCTAGATAAGCTATGAGAGCTGTCAAAATGGGCTGGCCCAACCCAACCCTAACGGGCTAGAGAGTTAAATGGGTTGGGACGGACTGGCCCTTTTAATTAAATGGCCTATAAAATAGCAGCCCAACCCAGCCCTAAGCGGGCCATGGGTTGGGACGGGTTGGCCCTTCAACCAAAAAAGGGACCATCAATACATACATAAATCCATTCATGAATTACACATACTTCAGTGAATATTTACAAAACAAATACATAATAGCCAAGATACAACCTTCATAAGATTCATCCGAGCATAAAAACATTACATGATCACTATTTTCATAAACAAGACAATAAAGGAGGAGTGAAAAATTAGGCATAAAAACAAAAGTGAAAAAGGTCAAAGATTCATAGTTATACTGGAGTAATGGACTTGGGCTAATAAGAAAATTCAGTGGGCTAATGACCCTAAAGTGTAAATGATATGTAAAAAATATAGTCTTAGGCATAAAAACAAAAGTGAAAAAGGTCAAAGATTCATAGTTATACTGGAGTAATGGACTTGGGCTAATAAGAAAATTCAGTGGGCTAATGACCCTAAAGTGTAAATGATATGTAAAAAATATAGTCTTAGGCATAAAAACAAAAGTGAAAAAGGTCAAAGATTCATAGTTATACTGGAGTAATGGACTTGGGCTAATAAGAAAATTCAGTGGGCTAATGACCCTAAAGTGTAAATGATATGTAAAAATAGTCTTGATTTTATATTGATACTTTAAAATATTTATTGACAAAATCTTAACAAGTAAAACACTACTTAAAATATATATAATAAATATTTTTAAAATTCACAGCCCGCGGGCTGGCCTTTGAGACTTGCGGGCCAAATGAGGCTGGGCTAAAAAGCCTCGTTCCTAAATGGACTGAAAAAATTGAGCCCAACCCCATTTAATTCAAGGGTTGGGTTGGGCCGGCCTAGCGGGCCAAACCCATTTTGACAGCTCTAGCTATCCCTCCCCTTGGGTGGCATAGTAATCCTGGGATAACTTATCCCGAGATAAAATAGGTAAATGACAAAGATATCCCTTTAAACCCTTTTTATACATCACTTATTTTTAACATCATATATAATAACATTCACAACCTCCACTATTCCTTATTTTTATGATAATTCTTCATATTTTTCTATTAAAAATTACACTGTATAAATATAATTTTTATTTTTGAATTTATTTAACTAATTCTTATGTTTATTTATATTTTGATTTCTCATAAATTCTCTTGTACTTTAACAAATTTAAGATGGAAATTCTATTTTTAAGCTAAATAAGAAGAACATTTTATTTTAAAATACGCACACAAAAATATTTAAACTAACTAAGATGATTTTTTTAAAGACTGAATAACTAAAACCTACAAAGAAAACATAAAAAAAACTAAATAAAGTGAAGAATATTTTTGTAAACAAACAACTTGTTTTTAAAATTTATGCAATGCATATTATTTTGAATACAACAAATCAAACATTTAATAAGAAATAATCTCGGCATAACTAATCTCAACATAACTTATCCTATCATAATTAATTTCATCATAACTTGTATTCAAACCAAATGACCCCTAACTATCATCCAACACACTTCCCCACACTTAAGACTTGACCTTTTTCACCTAGGTACAATCAAATACATCGGGTTCAGGTCAATCCCATGCGTAGAACAGTTCAATCATAGCCCGAAGGTACAAGGTATTATATAGCTGGACTTAGACAAAATGCTTAGAGTGTAAGTTAGTGACGTAACTCGCTTGGCGGATATAGTGGTGGTGAGGATTGACACACAAGTCATATCTAAGCGAGACAGTTTCAAGTATCTTGGGTCAATAATCTAAGGAAATTGGGAGATTGACGATGATGTTACACATTGTATTGGAGCGAGGTGGATAAAATAGAGGCTCACATCCAGTGTCGTGTGTGATAAGAATGTCCCACAAAAAACTTCAAGTTAAGTTTTATAAAGTAATTATCAAATCAACTATGTTGTATGAGGTGGAATGTTGGCAATCAAGTACTCGCATATCTAGAAGATAAAGTAGTGAAAATAAAGGATATTGAGATGGAAGCGTGATCATACTAGAAGGGGTCGTTTGGTAGAGTATAAAAACCATGCTACATAGAGTGTATTGGTAATGCTTGTATTAGTTATGGTTGCATTAATTATACATAGATTATTTTTTATGCATGTTTGGTTTGGTGTATTAAAAATAGCATGCATTGCATAACAATATTTTTGTACAAAGATATCGTCCACAATTATAGTGGAAAAGATGTAAAAATAATTGAGGGGTAATTAGGTGTTTAATCATGTTAATGCATGCATTAAATCTCCTTGCATTACTAATACCTAAAAATTCATAGTATTAGTAATACACACCTTAATACACCATAGAGTGTATAACTAATGCTAACATTAATTATACATAGCATAAAAAAGTGTACTAAGCAATGTATTACTAATACACAGAGTTAATGCATGCATTATTTTTGTTGATACACTATCAAATTCTATCAAATGACCCTTAAGAGATAGGATTAGGAACGAGGATATTTGGCACACTATGAGGGAAGTGAGATTGAGATAGTTCGGACACATGAAGAAGAGAAACACATATGCTTCAGTGAGTAGGTGTGGAAGGTTGGCTTTGGTGGGTATGCGGGGACATAAAGGTACGTTGAAGAAGTATTGAGGAGATGTGATAGACACGATATGATACACATGTAGCTTGCTGAGGACATACTCCTAGATATGAGGATATGAAGTCAAAGATTAGGGTAGAAGGTTGGTAAGTAATCGAGGGTCATCTAGTTCCCCTTTTCTGTATTGTTCTTATTACTCTCATATTGTCTTGTCCTTCAATTTTATTATTATTTATTTCTATTTGTTGAAAAATATCATTAACTAATAAAAGTGTGCTCTCTCTAACAGCTTAAACTTTTAGATGAGATGATTACACATTTAAACATGGTATCAGAGCAGACAGAGGTTTCGGGATCGAATCTCACCGCTTCCCAAACTAAAAAGAATTTCCACATGCTTGGTCCATGAAAAAAGATCAGGTAAGAAGTCCACCCATCTCATTAACCACCAATGTGGGACCTTCGTCATTCTTTAACACTCCACCTCACGCCCCGTGTTTAACATGATCCTGGTTTGATATCACCTTTCACCCCAAAAGCTAGCTCAAAGGGAGAAAGATTGCCAAGCCTTTTAAGGAGGTCACCCATCTTGTTAACCACCAATGTGGAACTTTTGTCGTTCTTTAACACTTTTGGTTCAGTTATCATATTATCCGATGTTGCTACTGTTCTCTTCTCCTTTATTTTTAACATGACTTCTTTACTACTGTGTTTCTTTTCCATACTTGTTTATGATATTCTTTACTTGAATTGATGGTCTGTTGGAAATAGCCTCTCTACCTTTGCAAGGTAGGACAAGGTTGCGTACACACCACCCTCCCCAGGCCCCACTTGTGGGATTGCGTTGAGTATGTTGTTGTTGTTTGTCCGTATATTAACTAACGGCTTTGCTGATTTAGCGAAATAAAGTTTTGTTTTCACATTGTTTAAGACTTTAGGTGTATTTGTTCAATGTACAAAGCTCCAAAGTGGTACTTGGAATTTCTCAACGCCTTCCTCCTTTAAGCCCTTTTTGCAGTGTCATAACGGGATTTGATTGTTATTTTTTGTTATCCTCCATTCTGTCTTTGTAGATATCTGTTATGCCCCTTACAATCACTTATTGATAATGCATGGGATAGCAGTGAGATGGTATATGCAGGTTTGGCCTTGAAGGAAACAATTTCTCTTTGTTTTGATTAGTGTTGTTGTGTCAAAAGTTTCAATCACCTTTATAACAACTAAACATGCAAGTGATTTATGAATTAGTCTTCCGTGTGTAGATTGGAGCGCCTCTAGAAGAGAGGCACAAGACCCATTGGATGATGGCTTTTAAGGCATTTAAATTCGGCTTTATTAGAGATTTTATTCTTTCTATAAGCCTTCCAGTAGCTCGTTGTTATTCTAAACATCATTCTTCCTCTAAGGTTGATTGTCAAGTCTCCTACGGAGTTGCTTCAACTTTTTAAGAGGCCCCAGTGAATGCTGTGAAGGTACAAATCTATTGCCGTTTAACTAAAAAAGTCGTACAAGCTATGGCAACCTTCAATAAGGTACTATCCCTTGTTCCTTGAAATCCTTCTTGGAGTAAAGTTGCATTTTGTCGTCCACCCAGTCTGGGTAAAAGACTCGAGCAACCTAACATCAAAGTCTGAAGGTACTGCTGAAGAGGCTTATACATGGAATGAGGTAAGTTATTGGACAGTCCATTTTTAACACGCAGGGGATTTTTGTTCCGATTGCTTCAGTTGAGTACAAGGGGAAAGTCTTCGTGTCTGGTCAGGTCCGAAATGCCAAAACATATGGCTTTACATTTTCTCTACATGCATTCTAATTTCCTATATAACATCAGTACTAAATTTCTCTCTTTTATTATCTAGGCTAATAATGCATACTTCTTCCTTGGGTTGGGTATTTGGTGCAATTTGCGTTCATGATGATATGCTCCCGGTAGCCTGTAAGTTCTGCATAATGTTACTTTGTCCATATTATGTTTCGTGTGTGGTTGGTGCAGGGATATGTTGATGTGCAATTGATTGAGTTAGAAGAGCTACAAAATGATGCTACTCCTAACTTTGTAGAGAAAGTTTTAACTTTGTTTTATAAAGACTCTGCTCGGTTGATCCATAACATTGACCACTCACTGTGAGTATCTTTCTCCTGTTCTGGTGTTCTTTACTAATTTTCTTAATCCAAGCTTGATAACTATATGCACCAGTTCAAGGGCAGTAACAACAAATTGATAGTTGAAATAATACTGCATAGTTAAGTCATGTAATATAGTAATTGGTCTTGTGCAGCATTGTTAAGTATCTATCGAAAACAAAGGTAAGGATTAGGTTATTACACTGTGAACGTTATGTTGTCGTCTGGTGGAGCATTGGAGCGAAGAAGGTCAAAACTGAATGTACACAGTTCATGGAATACTGCCTAGCAGGAAATGTAGAAGGGCATTACTAATCTTTATTGGATTTATTTTATATATACAGCCTAAAGAATTTTTGCAGGAATTAACATAATGTAGGTTACTTGCCTCTTTTTTTGAATTACTAATCCCTTTATTATGGGTACTTATGAGTTATGATATGATAGTGTAATTTTTTTTTATATTATTACGAGTTCCATTTTGCATTTTATGGAACGAAACATGACGCATTGTCTAGTCTATTTAGTCTCTGTTGCACATTCTTACTCTTTATAGTAAGTAATATTTATACCCAAATATTAATCCTCTGGAACATGTTGTATGCTATCACAGAACCATATTAAAGTAAATGCTCTTACATACGTGGAGTTTGAAATTCCACATGTGGAAATTCGGGACAATAATTATATTTCAATAACCTAACTGGCATGTGTTATATGGTTGGGATAACTATGTAACAAAGCAAACTTTAGCTTTTTAATTATCTATTATGGTGATGGTTCAAACATAGTTGTAGTAATGCTTGATCTCATGAAATCGATGTTTCTCAAATCTTTAAACTTAAAAGAGATAAAATATCTCTTAATTTATTATATCGTCCAATGAATATAATAAATTTAACATTTTGAGAAATGATTATAATCAATAATAAAGATAAATTAGGAACTAAGTGATAAAATATCTTTTAATTTCTAAACTGAACAACTAAAAGTGGACATCCACTTTTAGTATTATGAATAAACAGAGTCGTATGCAGGAGGGGGTCACTAGGTTAACGTGAACCCATGCTTCCTTCTGAAATCATATAGTAGTGTCATATTTTTTAATTTTTTTTGTTAAATATAAATGTGTGAATCCACACTTGAAGTATCATATAATATGACGATTGATTGGGTGCACCTCTCAGTAAGGTTAGAAATTTGACTTTTATATCTATCTTGTTTTATTTTTCTTTCTAAAATTTGGTAACATCTCTCTAAGTTGTTATTGATAGCATCTTTGACGTTTTAATTTATTAGGCATTTCAATTTTGGAACTATAATTTAAAATTTTAACTGTTTTTATAATAGTGAATCCATCACCCCAAAATCCTGGATACGCTATGAATAAATAAATATGTAAATTTCCTGTCTCGTTGGAATTTGATGTTACTCTCTTAAATCTATTTACTTTTATTTGCGACTATTCCAAAAATAGATTATTACTTTTACTTGTTGCATTTAACATATTAATTACTTATTCTTCAAATCATTTTTCAAGGCCTAATTAGTAAATTAATATTATAATGTAAATTACTCATATTAATTATTATTTTTTAATTTTTAAATGACATACTAAATTTGAATTGTACAAAGTAAAAATGGAAGGTGGAATATTAGAAGTAGTATTTTATTTTTATTTTTTTTGTCAAAAATATTTGGTCAAAGGAAGGTGAAAGGAGTCATTTTTTTGGGAAAGTTTTCCAGAGTTGCAAAAACATAAGCGACGACTATAGATTGGTGATGCTACTCAACTGGCAAATTTGCTGAGCTAAACAAACATAAACACTTTCTCTCCTACTCAAATTCTTGCTCCCCAATTCCCTTTGAAATTTTCAGAGAATACTTCATCTTCCACTTGATTCCTTGTGCAATTCGTTATGCTTTAATCTTCTCAGAATTGAGAAGTGTTTGTGGATTTCTACTTCATTTTATTGATTCGAATTCCATTCTCGTTTTTTTTTCCCCCTCTAATTTGAATTCTAGAATTGAGAAGGGCTCAATTTTGTATTGGGTTAGGTTACCCAGTTTTTGGATTTTGAGAATGCTGAAATCAAATAAATTATTTTAGCGGTATTTGTTTCATTAGGGTTCTTTTGATTTGATTGTGTGTGTGTGCTATAGGTAAATCTGAAGTGGTGAGAAAGAGGATTTGTGAATTGTAGAGGTTATATTTGGTGGTTCTGTTTTGTTCTAGGGTTTTAGTTTGCATTCGGAGGAGTTGTGTTTTGTTGTTGAGTGTCCCATGGCTTCGTATAGGCCATTTCCTCCACCGTCGCAGTCGAGTTTTGTTCCTCCGCCACCGCCACCGCCTCCGCAGAATCAGAACCCTCCGCCACCACCGTCTCAATCCAGGGGAAGTCAGTACTCGCAGAATTGGGGGGGTTACGGAGTGAATGATGGATCTTCGTATACCCAGCAGAATTACTCTCAGGTGCACCAGAGTTCAAATTATCAGCATCCTGGTTACGTTCCTCCACCTCCTGCGACCAGAAATCAGTATCCACCTCCGCCTCCTCCTCCTGCGGATTCTTCATATCCACCTCCGCCACCACCTTCTGGGCAGCCTCCTCCTCCTCCTGCTCCAATGTATTATCCATCTTCTCAGTACTCCCAGTATAGCCAAAACCAGCCCTTGGAGCCCCCACCTCCACCCCCTCCACCTTCGTCTCCTCCAAGTTCTGCTATTCCTCCTCCTCCCCCACCTTCTCAGCCACCGTCCCCTCCGCCACCTCCTTCATCAGTTCCCTCTCAGGACCAACGTAATGAAAGCAGGCCTAGTGCAGAGAAAAGGCGAGAATCTGGCTGGCGTGAATCAGGGCATGGTAACCACACTGCTCGTTCTAAACAGCCAGGCCATTCTGTTCCTCCAATGCCAGTGAAAAAATCCAATGCTCCTTCAGGAAGGGTTGAGACTGAGGAAGAGAGGAGGTTAAGGAAGAAGAGAGAGATAGAAAAGCAAAGGCATGAAGAAAAGAATAGACAGCATTTAAAGGAATCACAGAATAAGGTTCTGCAGAAAACCCAAATGTTAACTTCTGGTACGAAGGGTCATGGGTCAATTAGCGCATCACATATGGCTGACAGAAGAACCGCCCCTTTGCTAAGTGGCGAGAGGACAGAAAACCGGTTGAAGAAGCCGACAACATTTCTTTGCAAGTTAAAGTAAGACATTTGTTCTGGATTTACTACCAGCCAAGTGATTGTTTGATCCTTAAATGCTCCAATTGTTCTATTTCTATGTTGGATTAGTTACCTGATATTATCTAGTATCCGCTCTGCTGGAGATTGGAGTTTTCAAGCATACTGGTTGGTCGAAAGTAATGTTTAGTTTGGGATACTTCGGGAATGTTACATACCACTATATGCTTTGACTTTCCTTGTAATGAGACGATAAGCATCCCTTTAAGCATGCAACTATAATTTTGCCATTCACCCCCATATCACATGAAATCTTGTCGCGATGCTTTGAGATCCTTTATAGTTTGTACTTTCTTCTAGTTCTGTTCAAATTTGTTCTTGTCGGTGTAGTTTCAGTTTGGGTCATGGTAAGGGTGAACTTTACATGTGATGTTTGTTCCATAGGGTAGGTTGGTGATAAACTTACTGGACATCATTTATTCAAATGGTAGGTGTATTTAGTTATTTACTGAATGACTTTTCTTCTATTATGTCATGTCTTTGAAAATGTTCCTTTCTGTGTTAGGATTATTTGTGAAAAGACTATGGTATGCTATCATTTGGGACAAACAAGTCGTTTTACATATTAAATGTTGCTGAACATTCTATAATTTTTGTGTGTACTCTGCAGATTCAGAAATGAATTACCAGATCCGACAGCACAACCAAAGCTTTTGACTTTAAGAAGAGACCCAGATCGGTTTGTGATTCTGCTTTTCATTGTGCTGGTCCTCTCACTTGTATTTATGATAATCAATTCAACTACAAATGTATCTTCTGACAAAACTAGAATATGCTAAGCAAATCATGCTCTTTATATATGTAGACAAAATGGCTTATCAAAAAATATGTAGACAAAATATTCCATCTAGAATGTGCACCTTTTGTAAAGGTTGTCAGGGTTAAATGAAACTTCTTTCCCAAGCACTGCTCTCATGCCTTTTGTGTTTTTCCCCTTGAACATTTTTATTGTGGATTGCTGGTTTGCTACATATGCCTAATTTGGAATTGTGCTTTAACCATCACCTCTGGTTAGTCTGTTCCAGAAGTAGTTAGGCTGTCACTGTTGGTGTGAGAATGGGACATGGACACAGCTATATCCTCTCTCTTTTAAACCATTTTTATCAAGCAGTGTAATTTGTTGATTGTTAGTTCTTGAAAAGCCTCTCTACCCTCCACAAGGTAGTGGTAAGGTTTGCATACACTTTACCCTCCCTAGACCCCACTTGTGGGATTTCACTGCGTATGTTGTTGTTGCTGTTGCACAGCATTGCCGTGCCCACTATAAATCACACTAGGCATGAATTTGCCTAGAATTTGGCCTTTAATATTTGAATAATAATATTGTTATCTACCTATTAACCAATCAAACTATTGCTTTTATGGTTATTGCTACATTTCTCATGTTAGATGTTAGTTGTTGCAGTTGTTTGATTTACATTGTTGAGCATTTAAAGTTTGAGTGCAAGGACTAACACTTGTGGGGACAAATGACCTTTTGTTTTTGTAGTTACTAACTTCATCTGCACTAGAGTAGGCAAGTGTTAAGCTCATCCTGTGGTTCTGTTCCCTTTCCATGTCCTTTCTTTTGGGAAGCAACTCCTGTTCAAGGCAAGTGCAGGCCGTAGTTAATAGATTGAGAAAGCTTATCTGAGGTTGCTTAAATATTGTGTATTCGTAAATCATGATTTTATTTCTGAGTCTTTCTTGCATTTGAATCTCCACTTATCCTTGGAGTAAGAGTCTGCATTGGTTCTCCGTAAGCATTTTGATGCAGCATATGGAAGTTCTTTTGGAAAGATTTTGGCTATATGTTAGCAATATATATATACTGAATTATTGTACTGGAGTGACTGCTGGCAGAGAGTAGCTTGAAAGTGATGGTACTTGACATCTTTTCCACCTTTCTTCATCACAAAACACTTTGTGTAGCTTTTGATACATGAAACTCCAGGTTGTCATCAGAGCATTACTGTTGTCATATTTTCTAAGATCAATTCATTAAAATGTGCAGATTTACAAAATACTCAATTACTTCATTGGAGAAAATGCACAAGCCTCAACTATATGTCGAACCAGACCTTGGAATTCCACTTGACCTTCTTGATCTCAGTGTTTACAAGTATATTACACGTTCTCTCTCCTTTCCTTCAAGTAACACATTTTAGTGGAATAATTATCTAATGTTTTTACCTTGTTGCTGGCTTGCTTAGTCCTCCCAAGGGCGTAAAGATACCACTTGCTC